AGACGAAATTTTTTATAATGTATGCTGTCTGAAAGCCACTGTAAGCGTGAACAATCAATTAAGAACTGAAATGGTTTATCAAATCTTTCCAATGATTGCTAAGATAGAGTCCATCTTCTCGGTTGAAATTGTCTCTGTGCTTGTATATGAATATGAATTACTGCAGTCACGAAAGCTTTAAATCAAAGTTTAATCAACTCTACGGGGAGGGTTTTCACGTAACTTTAAGATCCTTCAACAAACTCCGGGATAAGAAAGCTCAGCTGATCGAGTCTCTCACCTTCCTGAAGAGATGCCGCGACTCTGGGCTAATACCAATCGCATTTACACTGACCTCTGCTGCTGTAACTTCTAATGCGAAACGAATTCTTTTCAAAACTAGCTTAGCTCTTATCTCAGAAAAAATCAGACTTATACGCACAGAACTAGATCAGTTAGACAAGACACTCTACAAATCACACTTATCATTGACGGCAATAATGTCCACATCGGATTGGGAACATGTAGACAATATGACTGCCTCTTCAGCTGCTACTATGTCGACCAAATGTAAGGAAAACCTGATTTCCAAATTTAACCTCCTCTTCAACAAAAGACCGGACCCACACACCAAAAAGTTAGACGTTAATAAAGTCGTAATTAATCGCAGTAACAGTTCTATTTCCGATGGTCTGAAATCCGTTTTAGCTAAAGGTCTAAACTTTGCAGTCACACCTAAACACATACCAGTTAATGATATAATTGCCCAAGTAGACGTTGCTCTCAGGGGCCTGGGTCACATCGCTGCAGACGTAGCAAGATCTGAAATAGCTGCAACCCTCAAAAACGCTAAGATGCCAGCTAGCAACCTCAGCAAAGATGAGCGTTTTGCATTATATAAATTAAAATAGAGGAATGATATTGTAGTCCTCTCAGCTGACAAAGGCAATGCTACTGTCATCATGGATAGAATAGAATACAACAACAAAATTAAATAATTACTCGACGATGGTAGTTATACAAAAATAAAAAGAGATCCCACCAACAGCCTCGTCACACAAACCAACAAAATAATTTCTGATTCAACCGCATTAATTGATCAATCTAAACAGTTTTCGTTGAAACCTTCTGCTGCCAGGCCACCAAGATTATACGGCTTACCAAAAATACATAAAGTAGATACACCTCTTCGTCCCATAGTCTTTACTATCAGCTCCCCCACCTACAAACTAGCTCGTTTTTTGTCTGAAATCCTGCGTCCTTTCACTGGAAAGACCACCTCTGCGGTACAGAATTCTACTCACCTGGTATCGACAATCAAGGGTATTTCCCTGTCCCCAGACGACCTGCTTGTCAGTTTTGATGTAGTTTCCTTATTCACCAAGGTTCATGTACCTGCCACCATTGCAATCATTGAAGACTTGGTTCATCAAGGACTAAACACTGAGGTACTCCCCCTGGTGAGACACTGTTTAACCAATACATACTTCACTTGGAATGGAACTTTCTACATACAAACTGAGGGCACCCCAATGGGCTCCCCCCTTTCTCCAGTTATAGCTAACATTTTCATGGAGAAATTTGAGACTGACGCCATCCAGACTGCCACTCTGCGCCCAACCTTATGGAAGAGGTACGTGGATGACACTTTTGTCATCTGGCCACATGGCCGGCCTGCTCTAGACCAATTCTTCGACCACATCAATTCCATACACCCAGCCATCAGATTTACCATGGAAGTCGAAATAGATGGCAAGATACCTTTTTTGGATGTCCTAATTAAAAAGAGACCTGATGGTTCAATGAGCCACTCTGTCTACAGGAAAGCTACCCATACGGATGCTTATCTGAAACCGGATTCCCACCACCATCCATCACAGAAGAATTCTCTCATCAAGACTCTGTATCATAGAGCCCAATGCATATCCGACCAGGAACACATAAGCAGTGAACTCAAGCACGTACACCAAGCTCTTAGGGCTAATGGTTACTCCGACTATACAATCCGCAAAGCTATCACTCAAACCATGAAGAAGAACCCTCTTGAGGAGCCTTTCAAAACCATCACTTTACCCTACATTGCTGGGATCACTAATAAGATCTCCAAAATCTTGAATAAACACAAGATCCAGGTCCGTTTCAACACATTACATAAAATCCGTGATCTGGTTCCGTCTGTAAAAGATGTGATTCCGGACATACAATACCCTGGTGTCTACAAACTAAGTTGCCTCTGTGGTAGTAGTTACATTGGAGAAACCAAACGCCATGTCTCGGACCGCATTCGTGAACACAAAGCAGACCTTAAACACGGTAGGACCAACACCTCGGCCGTAGCAGATCATTGTTCTAATTCAGTAGGCTCACATGCCATTGACTTTTCCAAGACAGAGGTTCTTTGTAAGCCATCTGGCTTCCATGAGAGATTCGTTCATGAGGCTATCCACATATACAAGCACAGAGACAATTTCAACTGAGAAGATGGATTCTATCTTAGCAATCATTGGAAAGATTTGATAAACCATTTCAGTTCTTAATTGATTGTTCACGCTTACAGTGGCTTTCAGACAGCATACATTATAAAAAATTTCGTCTCCTCCCTCCTCTTTTCAGAATATAGATGGACTAGTCCTGGGTAAACTGCCAAATCGCTGCGCGTGGCGCTAACGTTTTTTTTATTATAAATAAATAAATGCGCCGTTTAAAAATAAATTTATGCAAACCAACACACCTGAAGATGACCGTTTGAGTTATGGTCGAAACGTCGTGAGAATTTTTTATTGTTTTATATATTTTATTATTTTGTTGTTTCTCTTCAACGTGACTTTACCGAAAAAACTAAGCATATAACATATGCGCAGTTACTTTACATTGCCAATTAAGACATTACCAAATATATACGGCTTAAAAATTGAACGTTTCAATTACAACCTATTACAACATATGACCAGTTAATTTGCATTGTCAATGCACACATTCACACAAATAAACAGCTTTAAAACAAACAAAAAATAATTACAACATTTTAACATTACCAGTTAATTTCCATTGCCAATACAGACATTCACAAAATAAACGGCCTAAACACATCACATCTAAATTACAACATATTTACTACCTATGACCAGTTACTTTCCATTGCCAATCCTGACATTAGCAAACAAAAACGCCATACAAACTTAGTTACAATTACAACATATTAACTACATATGGACAGTTGCCAATTTGCCAATTCAGACATTAACAAAAATAAACGCCATAAACACTTAACGTTTACATTTGAACATATTACCAAAATATGAGCAGTTACTTTCCATTGGCAATGCAGACATTCACTAAAATAAACGGCTGCAATACTAAACTTTTAAATTATAACATTTTAACATATGACAGTTACTTTCCATTGCCAATGCACAAATTCACATAAACGCCGTAAAAATGTGAGCAGTTACTTTCTATTGACAATACAGACATATTCACTAAGATAAAGGGCTTAAAAACGTTACCTTTACATTATAACATTTGAGCAGTTACTTTCTATTGTAAATGCAGACATCCACAAAAATAAAAAGGCTTAAAAACTTAACGTTTACATTTGAACATATTAACATTTGAGCAGTTACGTTCCATTGTCAATGCACAGATATTTACAAAAATAAACGGCATCAAAAGTTTACGTTTCAATGACGACATATTAATAACATATGAGCAGTTACTTGCGATTGTCAATCGATACATATTCACAAACGTCAATACGTGAAAAGCTGTACGTTACAATAATAAGATATTTACTACATATGAACAATTACTTTATATTCTCAATGCAGACATTCACAAAACTAAATGGCTTTAAACCTTTACGTTAAAATTACAACATTAACAAGATATGAACACTTCCCATTGTAAATACAGACATTTGCTCAAAAATAGTATGCGTGCCCCACGCTTTCATTTAGAGTCAGTTACAACAAGAGTATATGAAACATATAATGCAAAGTACTTGAACAGAAAATTGTTATTTTAAACTTTTTAGTACATTTCATAAAAGCGTGTTTAAAAAAAAAGTTTATATATTTTTTTGTTTAATTCTTTACGGCGCTCTGAAGCTATTTGTTGGGTCTGCTACACATTTACCATATTTTCCCGTATATAACCCGCGGGGTATACCACTTTTTACAAACAAAACAAGACCCTGCGAGGTATATGGAGGTGCGGGCTATCCCAAAAATATTTTACACTTGTGACATGTCATAACTCGTTTAATTTTTTAATGATAGGACTATCCACTATGCAACACTTACCTTTGACTAAAGCACTGCTGAATAAACCACTCACACTAAAATTGCACATGTTATCACGTTTTAAATTATTGGAATTGTTTATACAATTAAACGACAATGTTTGAAGTGGGCACACTTTGTTTACTGTAATACTTTCAGTGGTTGTAGGGGGGTGCGAAAGTTTCAGCTGAGGCTATGGATTGCACAATTGGAAGGGCCTTAACAAGCGTCTACCAGATGCGGAATCATAATTGCTGAGTCCCTTAGGCCGTTGCTATTGGCTGAGCACTATACAGTCACGATTGTGAGCTTTGTTTCAAATGTCCAATGACTTTGTTGCCAGGAGGCAATGGCTCTATCGTAGTGCTGCTATTGTCTGCGCAGTGCGCAATCTACCAGTGCTAAAACTGTACGGGGGTAACTACCGGTCCAGTAGCTGTAATTTGATGAGGTCGAATGCTGGTAACTCTAACAGTACGCTTACTTACTTATCTACCAGTTACTTATCTACCAGTTATGTGTTACTTATTTATAGGATATTTACTTTTGTTACTTATTTACTGTTTTGAGTTCACTCGTTTCCGGTTAGTTTGTTTTCTTTGTGCACGTTATGATTTTAATGTTAACAATTGATAGTGGAATGTATTACAAATGTAAACTTTGCATTTATATCATGGAATTAAGCTGCGGTAACGACGTTAAAGATATGAATGCATGCGGGGTATATGGAGGTGCGGGCTATCTGAAATTTGTTTTGCACAAAACGCTATTTTTGCGGGGTATATGCGTATGCGGGAAAATACGGTATATAAACGTAAATAATAATAATAGGTTATTAGAAACACATTTTCTCATTCTTCAAGTAATCTTAAACATCAGGACGTCTTGGTTGTTATGATTATAACAAGGCAAATTAACGCTATCACGACAATCAGCGCCATAAAATTCCATCCCACTTCAGGTTTCTCTCCTTCGTTCTCGCCTTCGCTTTTGTCAAATTCATGTTTGACTTCTTCATTTGCGTCTTCATCTACAAACAACACCAACAAAACATGGCAGAATGTTATAAATTAGTTGTCGTGTTTATATTGCGCCTGTGACTAAAACTTGCAAATGTATATGTTTAATGTAATACATCCTAGACCACTGCAACCGTTTATATAAGTAATTTCATTGGTGCGTGTTTACGTTGAGACATCTCCACGTGTGATCTCATGATAGGAGTGCCAGTGTCTGTGTCTCTGCTTGTCAGTGCTCTGCTGCCACCTGGTGTAGGGAGCGGTGGCGCAGCGGTTAGCACACCGTGCTACGAACATGGCGACCCGGGTTCCATTCTCGCTCATGGCCAACACCAGTGACAATTATCTGAACCGGTCCTGGGCCTCCCCTAGGTCGACTCAGCCTCGAATGAGAACCTCGTGCAATATGTAAACAACGCCACTGGGGAGACAAAGGAGGAGACAAAGGAGGCCTTTATAGGTGCTGGCTCCAGTAGGCTGTTCCGGCCATACGGGGGGGGGGGGGGGGGTGTCTTTGTCTCTGCTTATTAGGGCAGTACTGCCATCTAGTGAAGACAGGCGCCACACGGTTGCTGTGAATGAGAGTTGAGGCTGTCAGGTGGAGGCTGAGGAGCCAAGGTATAGGCTGAGGAGCCAAGGTATAGGCTGAGCCAATTTTTAGTTTGCCAGGAGGGGGCTCTGTGCAGGAAAATAACCTCTGAGTGAAACTAAACGCCTATTCAGCTGAATGTGTCTAGAATTATTCGTCTATACACTTGGTGTAGTGTATTTCCGTGTAGTGTGCATGCACTGTATGTGTAGTGTATATGTGTATTGTATATGTGTCTGTGTAGCTTTTGTGTATTGTGTGGCTTTTCGTGTGTGTCTGTGCGGGGAGTGGTACCGTAGTGGTGAGCACACTGTGTTACGAACCCGGCCATCTGAGTTCAATTCCCGCTCACAACCAATAACAGTGGAGAATATTTGAATCTGTCCTGGACCTCTCCAAGTTCGAATTAGCCTCAAATGAGTACCTGGTGTGGTGTGTAAACATTGCCACCCTGGAAAGACAGGCAGCTGGGCGTGGTGGCTGGCCATTCACCCCTTGGTGTGCTGTGCCCCGTGGCCTCCTTCATAGGTGCTCATTAACAGCACCTGCCACAACAGGCTATTTAAGGCTATGCGGGGGTCTTTGTTTGCGTTTAGTCTGTGTAATCTGTGGTTGCCTATGTTTATGTGTATGTACAGCATCTGTCTGTATAGCATATTCGGCTGTGTGTCTCTAACCTGTGTGTGTGAGGTTGGCCACCCACAACCCCCTTGTGTGCCGTGCCAGCCTTCATCGGTACTACCCGCTTAGAGCACGTGTCTCAAAAGTCTGTTAAATGCTATAGAGGGGGAGCTTTTCTTTTTGTGGTGGCTGAGTGTGTGGAGGGAGGGGTGGCATGGATAACAATAAAATGTCCCTCATCCCCCTACATTATTATAACAAAGTGGGTTACGTTCTATCTCACCACTTTGTATAATGCCCTGTCTCAATCTCTACACGGCCAGAGTTCCCGACCCCGAGGCGTCCCGAGTTGACGCCCTGGAGCAGAGCGAGGCCGCTACAGGGGGGCGCAATGTGCATGGACATCGCGATGTAATTCAAATCCACTGCTGGCAGATGCACTCAGTCATGGAATTAGCCTAACACAACACCAAGAGTGCACTTTGATTACCGAGGAGGGTCTCGCTGAGTCTCAGGACATGTCCTGCAGGAGGGTCCTGCAACATTGGGATGCGTGGCCATGAATCCCTTTGATGAGATGTTGGCTTCGTGGGGGAGGAAGCCGGAGAACCTAGAGAAAACCCCCACGCTGTATACGAGGGAGTGACACCCAAAACTCCGCACAGATGCATTCAATCCAGAGGCAGATCCGATTTACCGCATCGTCTGTGGGCTGAACAATTTCCTGTACTGCCATCCCCTGGTCATCTCACAACCCCACGGTGGTCAATCATTACATTCTAACCAGGCTCACAATTGGTTTGCTTCCAAGCAGGTTCAACGGGTCGCCACTTGTTCACTGGAAGTTGCAGGGCTTCCTACCTAGGTGATATGGAGACCTGGGTGATTATAGAGACCTGCGTGATATCAAGATTTAGGTGATATAGAGACTTGAGTGATATAGAAATCTGGGTGATATGTAGATCCTCAGGGATGCTGTGTGGCGTATGTAGACCCGCTCTGTAACTCGTGTTTATCTTCTCATGTGATCGTTGATAAACGAAAGCTATGAGCTTCTGAATCCGCATAGCGTAGCGTGCACGACCTCAGTTTGAGGTCGGCACTGCTCTTTATCCAGGTGACTCAACGTTAAGTTTGTACTCAGCGCGATGGCGAGATGTTATCTCCCTCGTATGGTATTCAGGAAGTTGTGGATTCGGCCCTGACACTAACGACTGTACAGTATATGTGGAGATTGCATGTTCTCCCTGTCATTGCGTGGATTTTTCTCTGGGTTTTCCGGTTTTTCGCTCCATATTTAGCATCAACATCACGCATTTAGGGTATTTGGCTACTATACATTTCCACATGATAAACCACTTAGTTGAACTATCATTTGTGGGCAGTTCGCTTCTGAAAAAAAATATATATAGCTCAGCGGGCTTTACTTGGTCAAGTAATATATTTGAATGCTTTTTAAGCCACACACCCCAATGCTATGTCACCTCGCTTAAACAAAGACAACAGCCTACCCAGCAGTGCCTGTCTGGATCATTGTGTTTGTAATGATTGATGTTGACAGAGATCAGTGTAGAATGCAGAGAGACTCACACACGAGACCCATGAGCTTCGTCTTCACTCCTCCTAATGAGATGACCTCTGTGAGCTCTTGGTGACTGAATGTGGGAGGAGGGGCATCCTGGATCCCCTGCGTGTCCGAGCTCCTGCACTCACACCGCACGAGACACGGAGTCCATAGTGGGTGCAGTCCCTCCACTTACAGAGCACGGCACACGGGGAGTGAAGGGGCATGAGGAAACAGCTCCACTAGTTCACTGCCTATTCAACACTGCTAAAATATCCTGAAGCAGAAGATTGGTGTTGGATACAACTGCATTTGAAAATTTGATTTGTAAATTTTATCCGAATCCCTGTCTGGATACTTACATTTTAATGTACTATTTTTTTGGTGTGGTTTGGGACTGTTTTTGTTGTTTTGCTGCCTTGCCCAAGCTTGCATTTAGTCTTGACAAACTTACGTAATTGGAACTTATACACAGTAGGCCTTCGGTTAAAGTGTTAAATCCGTTCCACGAAAACTACTGTTAACCGATATAACTGTTAATCGAATTTACTTAAAAGTTGAAAAATCAGCAAAACTCACTGAGTCTACAAGAGAGCTGTTTCCACTAACAAACAGAAAACAAAGTAAATAATGACAGTTGAGGTCTAAATGCTCATAAATGGGCGTCTCTGATTGGCTGAGGCATGCTCAACCACCTTACGAAAGCTCATATTGGCCGAAATTGGTGCCCGTGTGAATAATGTAAACATGCCGTTAATCAAATTGTTAACGTTAATCAAACCATGGGGTGATATGGTAGGCTAAACGTTAAATGATGAAATGCTAACTGATGTCACTGTTAACCGAGGGATCACTGCAATTTTATTTATTTATTTTTCGTGACCTCACCTTTTATCTATTTTGCACTCTTATCGTTGTTTATATTGTCTGTTGTTGTAGCTTGCTGATCCGTCCATACTGGACATCTATGAAAAAGAGTTTTAAAGCTTATCGGATTCCTCCTCCAGTCTAAATAAAGATTCTGATTTTGAGTCTGAGCTCCCTCTGGCTCCACAGTGCTGAAGCTGTGGTGAGTGAATGCGGAGCTGAGTGTTTGCTGCACAAGAAGCCACACAGAGGCCTCAAAGTCTGTCCTCTTCTGAACAACCCACAGCCCCCTTCCTTGATTTATTAAAACCCTGTGACTGGTTGCTTGTTTAAACTGATATTGGGCTTAATGCTGGGCTAAGAATGAGTGTGGTCACTCAATCATTATCACTGGCAATATTTTGTGAAGGGGTTTATTTGGCAAATGGTAATGCACACACATATGTGATATGAATTAGATTCGGATAACTGACAGTGGTTTTAGAGAGATTTGTGGATGACTGATGTGTCCAACCTGTGGCATGCAGAGCTCGAGTTTGAGTCTGGATTGGTACTGACCTGAGATTCTCATGCACGGGATGCTGAAAAACACCAACCCACATTTTACATTAATACATGCCCTACTTCCATATAGTCACCTGCTCTTTACAGTATAGTGCAACATCAGGACATTCACAAATACCTACAAATGGAGAATGGTGAAACATCATGGTTAACTGGACCCGGACGGATATCTACAAATGACAAAACCACTCTTCACAGGTCTAGTCTAGCACCTAACAAATGGTAAAAAAAGTTTAACAACTCATGTATTTGAGCTTTGAATATGGTGAGGTTGTACTGGACAAGTCCAGGTCTGAATGTCACGCGGAAAAAAAATGTATGTCTATTTCTGGACACGGCAGCTCCCCACTCCCCCCCCCCCAGATCTGAAAGCTCTGAAATAAAATTGCCAATAATATCAATGTCTCACAGAGTGGTTGTAGATAAACCCTCTGATAAACCAAGGCCATGAGTGAATGGAGGTGGGGCCACCTGCAGGAAGGCGAGTGGGTCGTGCACTTTGAGGGCGGCGAGCAGCTGGTTGATCTCCTGATCGAGGCCGCCTGCTTTGCTCTCGTAGCGAGCGATGTCCGCCTGGATTCTGGACACCACAGAGCGGCCCTCCTCGTCCACGCGCTCCAGTGCCTCCCTCTCCTCCTCACCCAGCTGTTCCCTCCGGCGCTCAAACTCTCGACTGATCTGCTCCTTGGTTCCCCACAGAGACTCCTACGCAGAGATACGATCACGCATTATAGAATCGCTCATCATATAACACAGTTCAACGTGAAATAATAAATCATCTCAACAGCACTATATATCCATACTTTGTAAAAGGAGGCAGGAGACTTACATTATGAGAGCATGGGGGAAATTAAACGCAACAATGACAAGAAAGGAAATCAATTGAATACAATTCACAGGTGAATTATGAGGGAGTTTGTAACTCTGCTGCTTTTCTATTCTCCTCTCTCCTCGTCTTCTCGAGTCTGAGCTCCTCCTGAGTGGTGAAGAGGAACAAACGTGCTCAAAACTACACCGTCAAAGTAATCCGCAGCAGCAGCCATTGCCTCTCCACTATTCGATAGATGAACACATTTTTTTCGTGTTAAAATGCTAACATATAAAGTACAATTTGGAATATAAAAATGTCTTCTTTACAGTTTTATGGTCAGTGGCGCACATGTAAAGTGCATATTCAACTATAAAGCATGTTATTAAACATCATTAAGCCATTAAATAGATAAGGAGACTATTCCTCACTCAGATATGTCTACCCACGTACAAACTTTAACTATAAAAATAAAAATACGTTCTATTCAATCCATGAGCTTTGGTTCAAGCGAGACAAACTTTTCTCATAAGACCTATATGTGAAGACCGATCCAGAGGCTGCTTATATTGAATCAATGCTGCTGAAATGATGCACTTGCAGAAGGCCGTGAGGTTGATTGGTTGAGTAAAAATTCAATTTATTTTGTACAGCTCAAGGAGTTGCTGATCATTTATCCCTGTCTTCAATCGGCATCATAGGTGTAATTATATTTTTACTTCCAACAATTTATTCCCCAACGAGAAAAAGTGTAAAATCACTACTGTACAAGGTTTCCGAGAATTCACAAAAAATGCAATGTCTCGAATCAACCTTTGGCAGTCCACAGCCCAAGTAATGTGGGCTGAAAAGTTAAACGTGCATATTTTAATTAAAATTGCAGCATTTTTGCTCTTAAATTTAAGCTGCTTCTTTAAAATACAATAATAAATAATGTTCTAGATTTAAAGCTTTCGTGACTGCTAGGATCCATACTCTTTGGAACCAAAGAGTATGAATAAATAATGTGATTTTCATCAATATGTGAGTTAATTTATACAACGACTGGCGTTGCAGCAACTAAAATTATGAGAATATATTTCAGACTCGAATGTGGAAGTTTTATTTTAAAACACACATGGCCGTGAATTTGTTAATAATATCATAAAAGAAGCATCTACAAACAATATGGGTACGTGTGATTAATACAGACATGATTCCTTGTAAAAGTTTATATTTGGCGTTTGAACATCTTACCACCTATTTTATTGTCAGAAAGAAAAAAAAAATCTTATTTATTTATATTCTTGGTTCTTTCGGTAAAGTCACGTAGAAGGGAAACAATCCCTGCAGTCACGAATGCTTTAAATCAAAATATTCTTATTTTGTCATACCATCGGTTAAGTATAGTTGTATAGTTATTTTAAACGTGTAACTATTGCAAAACATGGCTTGGCTTTTTTTGGATAGTTATTTTTTATCACGGAGATCAAATCGACCTAAAGTTGGGTAATGGATGCCCTTATGAGGGTGGTGTACAACCATCACGTATGGTGGATGTACATCACACCTTGTTTGGGTGACCTGTTTTTGTCTAAATGGGATTCAAGACCAACTGTTTTTAGATGGAGGCTCGAAATCACCATCAATAATGAATAAGTGGAATCTACCACATATTTACAACACTTGCTGTGGGTGATGCGAATCACGGGAACAAACGGGTTAACTAATTTTGACCACCGCTACGTACACTGCACAGACATTGTAAGGTGAAGCTAATATTTATGCTTTAATTTATTTAAACGTAATTAGCATGGCTATGGTTTATCCAATTTGCACTTTAAATTATCTGTAAGTTCGTCTGAGTGTTGCAGAGGTGAGTCCTGTCGCGACCCCATCTCTGTGCTCCGGTCTCTGAGCGATTCCACTCACTTTCCGTGCCCCGTGCTCTTCCTCCACGCTGCTGAACTTGTGTCCTGTGTGCGCCCCCACGATGGCGCAGCTCGTGCAGACCAGGCTCTCGTCCTGCGTGCAGTTGAACGCGAGACGCTTCTTGTGCTTCTTGCACATGCGATCTTCCGTGCTGACACCCATCTCCACCAGTTCATGTTCCTTGAACCTCGCATTTTGCAGGTGATGCTTACAATGGGACTCACTGATGGACGTCTCGCACGTAAGGCAGCTTCTCACAGTGGGGACTTCACCATCCAGACAGCAGTTACAGGAAACCTGTGGAGCCGCTTTCTCCCCCACGCTGAGCTCCTCCACAAGGTTGGCGAGCGCCACGTTCTTGCTCAGCTGCGGCTTCTGCTTGAACTTGGCTCGGCACTGGGGACAGAAGCAGCGCCCGGCCACCTGCCACGTGTCCTCCAGGCACCGCAGGCAGAACGAGTGGCCGCAGCTCAGCGTGGAAGGGCAGTTGTACGCACCCAGGCAGATGGAGCAGATGAGTTCCTCAGATGCAGCAGCAGCAGCTGGGGTGGACATGGCTCTGCTCCTGTCTCAGTCACTCAGTGCTTATCACAGCGAGTATCTCAGCGAGTATCTCAGCGAGTGTTTCCTTGAGTGTGGGGAGAGCACAGAATGTTTTCGTTTTCATGCCTGAAAAGATAACATCATGATGCCGTCATTGGAATTGTGACTTCCTGCATTGCGTTCATTCCACACTGACAGTCTGATGTGTGTGCGTGATGGCACAGACAGCTGTGGTCAATGACGTAAAATCATACCACAGTCTCGGTATGGACATTACGATGTAAGCTCTACCTGTCTCTTATATTGGCATGCTTCGTGCTCACGTTAAATAGACACAAAGTGGAGTTTTTGAACATCAGATTGTAAACTTGTACAGTGGAGGCCCGGCTAAATCTTATCTTGTCGTAATTTGTAGAGCACCTTGGCCAAGGCGCGGAGTGACTGATCTGGACCACACTTGCAAAGTTACCCTGGGCTGTGATTCATGTTTGTAGCCTGTATAACTTCATAGTTTAGTTATGTATGTGGCTCTATTTATAACTACGGGAGATGTAAAGAAAATGCAGGGGCCTCAGATTGTTCTCTCACTAATTGTACCCCTTCCCTCTGATTGCCTGTGAACAAATAATTCAAAATCTTCCCAATCTCGACAAATCTCGAAAGCTAAGCCGCAGTCGGCACAGTGCGTGAAGGATGGACGTGCACCCCGTACAGACAGAATGGGGCATGAGGGCGCATGTAACAACAATAACGCCTCCACATCCACCTTTCCAGTCATTCCAACATGCAGCAGATGTTTTGGTAAGTTCCCTTACAAGGTTAATTGTTGCTGTTTTAATTTGTTATTTTATATTTTTATTACGTCTATTTATTTTTTGTTCGTGTTGTGAAACGTGATGTTGGTGTATTATATTGTTAGGTTAGGAGTAGAGTTAGAATCACTGTCCAAAACACATCCCTAATTTTTCCAATTTCAATCTCTATTTTTTGTCAGATGGCTGCTGGACATCTGTAAAAAAGAGCTTCAAAGCTCATCGGATTCCTCCAGGCAAAATAAAGATTCTGATTCGAACAAAAGGGCCGTACGAGTGCACCATGTAGACATCTACCCAGTACAGCAGTGAGGGGCAGAGGGGGGGCAGGGAGGGGGATAGACTGACCCCTCTCAAATACCAAAAGGTCACACAAACAACCCCCCAGGGAATCCGAGACGCTCACCAGAACAACAGTAACAAGAAGCTGGTCGGCAGCGCGCCTGTTTACGTTGAACGTTTTGTGTGCACGAGGCAGACACAGCCTCGCCCAGCACTGCTCTCTGAGTGCACCACTCATGCACTCACTCGCACAGACCAATGCAATAGAAACCAATGCATCAACAATGCACCTGTACGGCCCTCTGTCAACCCATTGCTGTATGAAGGCGTCCAGCAGTGTAATAGATAATGATGACGTAACGTCGAAATATTTTAAGCTCCTTTGATTACTTGGTTAAGATGTGTAACTGACAGCGTGTGTGCACTGTAGACTGTCAACATTTAATTATGTGGCAGTTATGCCGAGTTGTCTGCAGTTGAATAAAAGTTAAGAAAAATGTATCTGAAGTAAAGCAAAGCACAACAAACAATTGTATAATACAAATGTGTAATTCAGGCAGCGCTCAAGATACGTTCATTGAGAAGTGAGTGCTAATTGAATCAGCACTAAAAGGGGTCATAATACCATTGTGCATATAAAAATGCATTCCCAACAGCGTTAGTTCTTTCGTAAGAGAAATATGTGAGGACATCATTTGACGTTTCAGTAATAGCACTAATAATAATACAGATGGTAAACATTATTTGACAAATAAAAATAATACTGTATTATAATCAGTAAGTATTATGTGTAGTGACATCGCTGGATGTTAACATGCTGGGTGCAGTGCCGGACATAGAGAGGCACGGCGTGCGTTGTAGCGACATCGCGGATACCACAATGGTGTGGGTGTAGTACTGGCCCTAGAGGGGCCCGGTGAGTGATGAACAATAGCGCTAGATGGCACCACGCTTTCCATACAGTGCCGACCATACAGGACAGGGTGTGTAGGTGCCGGCCGAGGCATGAGGTTACGTGAGGCATGGCACTCTGGTTGACCCAGGAGGACGTGACCGGTTAAGTTGACAAAGGGGCCCCAAGAGGGGGCTAGGGGTGGTCACATGATTAGGACCCAGATCCTTCCCGAGGATTCTGGAAGGTGGACGTGGCCAAGGGCGGAGCCGGCCAGGCCACAGAGAATATAAGCTGGGTCCCAAGAGGGACCAGCGTTGTTGTTCATCCTGAAAGAAACCCTTCATCTATGTTCTCCGTTCAACGAGTCTCCAACACGTGGACCCGGGCCAAAGTCGTTGGTCCCGGTCCGTAGGAGCAGTTTCGCTGTAACTAGTGTAGTTAGCCTGATGGTCACCCCCTTAGGTTGTTATTCTTTTAAGGGGAATGTTACCCCGTGTTTTGGAATTGAATAAATGTATTGCCTCCAAGTTTATGTCTGCGACTCAGTTGAACCCATTACATGTGCATTCAGGAGTGCATTGGATGGTACTCCTCCTATACGGTAGCGGTAGGAGAAGAGGTTGGGGCTGTTATGTTCCCAATTCGGGTTTTCGTGATGCCATCAGTCCAATTTCTGTGGTGAGGTTTCTTTCAGGTTGAACCTGAGACTCTATCCTGGTCTTGTTGGTTCTCACCTAGCTAAACGAATTGTGATAAGATTACACATTTTTTTCCTATGTACCACAGGGGGTTGGATCCGGTTGGCTCAGCGTACGTCGCTCTCATTGGGTGATCGAATAATGGGGGGCAGGTATGTTGCCGCGGCCGGCACTGCTTTATGTTCTTCATTGTAAGTGCTTTTATATTTCACGAGCGGGAAGTACCCGGCGTTGTCCGAGTCTTAAAAATATATCAAAACTACTTAAATATGTAACAGCAGTGCGTACTGGCTGTGGTGCTACCTGCTATGATTACAGCAGTGCATACTGTGGTGGTACCTGCTATGATTACAGCAGTTAATAACGACTTTGGTGGTATCTGCTATGATTACAGCAGTGCATACAGACTGTGGTGCTATCACTATAGTAGTACATGCTGATGCTATAGCAGTATTTATCGACTCTATAGCACAAAGTACTCAACTGACAGAGTGGCGTGGTGAGGCCTAGTCCTGTGCAGAGCCTCCGGCCTCGCCTAGATTGTCCAGCCGGCCGAGGTGGCACCTTGGCAGGCTGGGGCTGGGCTGCTACCCCTGCACCCCCCCGCCCCCCCCCCCCCCCTGCAGCCACGATGTCCCCGGCTGCGCTGCAGTGAAGAATTGACCTGAGCGTTTAGTGTATTTTATAGCGTTTTTATTCGGAAAGAAAATGTCCCCCTCACTCCCACCGAAGGCGTGCGACTTGGCGTGGGCTGTTCCCCCCACCAAAGACGCGTGAGTTTGGTATGGTCGTGCAGGCGTCATAAATAATTAAATATAATTTAAGCGCACAAAAATCGCTCTAAATCGCCAATTAAACTAATTCAAAGTTGACGGATGTGAAAAAGGAATAGCGCTTGCTCACCGCGAGGCTTATGGCATGGTACCTGGCTATTTTTTTTACGTAAACCCCCCTGTTGGAGAGCCAAGTGCGCGACCAGACACAAACCCACAATTTTTGACTTTTATATAGATAGATATATTTGGTATGGGAGGAAAGAGGCGAAATCAGTCGAAACCCATCCAGGAGAGGAGGAGAACACACAAACCCCGCACGAAAAGGAACCTGAATAAGGAATCGAACCCAGAACGTCTACGCTATGAGGCACAAGTGTTACCACTGTGCCACCCTGCCCATCTAATTGCCTCCACGAATTGAAATAAAATTGGGAGAAAAAAAAATCCCCCTGCAAATACAATGGAAGTAAAATGGTGATAAATTGGAATTATGACAACAGTTTGTCATTAGAATGCCTAACGATAATATGTATTACATAGTGCATTTACTGAAACATATAACCCTGAACAGGGTAAATAAAATGATCTGCTATACCAGCGGTTTCCAACCTGTTTGTTTGATGTATACCCCTACCAGCCCTATCACCATATAATCATATGTTGGTAAGGGAAGGGGGACAGTAGATTATAATCAACTGCGAATCATCCACAACTTAATTATCCGTCTTCGCACCTCCTTGGGAGATGGTACACCAGCCAGCCACTAACATAAGATGAATACAATACTTTATACAAACGTTTAAGCTCCACATTCCCAGTGGCAGTCCGCTCTATAACAATAACTCGTTTAGTTGGGCTGAGTAGTTTCCACTTCCAAAAAGCCAAAAAAATACAGACCATCATAACGACACGGGACAAATGAAACAATACAATCAAGGCAGACAGATGGTGTAAATCAGGCAATCTGAGACAATACAAATAAGGAAGACATGCACGTGTAAGATAGATGATATAGAAAATTAGTCAATGCAAATGAGACAAACAGCAGAGACAGAACATATGAGTTAGAGCATTTTAGATGAGTTATTAATTGATTATCAGATGGGCAAAGGGAATTAGTACGATATGTTAAGCAGTAACAACTGACGGGTAATTGAAAAGTAAATACTCATGAGCATCCCGACGCTGAGTAACATTCTAAAACGGCAATTTTGTGATCAAGCCTTGACGAGTAGCCAAAATATGCTGTGTGAAGCTGATATGTAGTGTAAGAATTACAGGTATAGTAGTCTCTTCTCTATCGCTTGTTGACATCAGCTCTCCATAGGCGGTAGATGACGAGTCTGAATGAAACAGTACCTGGCTTTCTGGTCACTGAAAACGACAATCGGTATGCCCTGAGGTATGGTGAATTGAATATTGACTTGTAATAGCTAATTAATAATGAATTATTCATAATAACGGTTTTTGGGTTAGATCGCGTTTATTTATAAATGTGTCGTAACCCTCCACCACCCGACATGGCCAATCAGCAAAAAAAAAAGTGTCA